GGCGAGCTTAACAGTTGAGGCGAGCTCATCTCTTTGAGCCAGGTTCCCAGTTTCGGCGAACCGCTCAAATCAGGCGAGCTTAACAGTTGAGGCGAGCTCATCTCTTTGAGCCAGGTTCCCAGTTTCGGCGAACCGCTCAAATCAGGCGAGCTTAACAGTTGAGGCGAGCTCATCTCTTTGAGCCAGGTTCCCAGTTTCGGCGAACCGCTCAAATCAGGCGAGCTTAACAGTTGAGGCGAGCTCATCTCTTTGAGCCAGGTTCCCAGTTTCGGCGAACCGCTCAAATCAGGCGAGCTTAACAGTTGAGGCGAGCTCATCTCTTTGAGCCAGGTTCCCAGTTTCGGCGAACCGCTCAAATCAGGCGAGCTTAACAGTTGAGGCGAGCTCATCTCTTTGAGCCAGGTTCCCAGTTTCGGCGAACCGCTCAAATCAGGCGAGCTTAACAGTTGAGGCGAGCTCATCTCTTTGAGCCAGGTTCCCAGTTTCGGCGAACCGCTCAAATCAGGCGAGCTTAACAGTTGAGGCGAGCTCATCTCTTTGAGCCAGGTTCCCAGTTTCGGCGAACCGCTCAAATCAGGCGAGCTTAACAGTTGAGGCGAGCTCATCTCTTTGAGCCAGGTTCCCAGTTTCGGCGAACCGCTCAAATCAGGCGAGCTTAACAGTTGAGGCGAGCTCATCTCTTTGAGCCAGGTTCCCAGTTTCGGCGAACCGCTCAAATCAGGCGAGCTTAACAGTTGAGGCGAGCTCATCTCTTTGAGCCAGGTTCCCAGTTTCGGCGAACCGCTCAAATCAGGCGAGCTTAACAGTTGAGGCGAGCTCATCTCTTTGAGCCAGGTTCCCAGTTTCGGCGAACCGCTCAAATCAGGCGAGCTTAACAGTTGAGGCGAGCTCATCTCTTTGAGCCAGGTTCCCAGTTTCGGCGAACCGCTCAAATCAGGCGAGCTTAACAGTTGAGGCGAGCTCATCTCTTTGAGCCAGGTTCCCAGTTTCGGCGAACCGCTCAAATCAGGCGAGCTTAACAGTTGAGGCGAGCTCATCTCTTTGAGCCAGGTTCCCAGTTTCGGCGAACCGCTCAAATCAGGCGAGCTTAACAGTTGAGGCGAGCTCATCTCTTTGAGCCAGGTTCCCAGTTTCGGCGAACCGCTCAAATCAGGCGAGCTTAACAGTTGAGGCGAGCTCATCTCTTTGAGCCAGGTTCCCAGTTTCGGCGAACCGCTCAAATCAGGCGAGCTTAACAGTTGAGGCGAGCTCATCTCTTTGAGCCAGGTTCCCAGTTTCGGCGAACCGCTCAAATCAGGCGAGCTTAACAGTTGAGGCGAGCTCATCTCTTTGAGCCAGGTTCCCAGTTTCGGCGAACCGCTCAAATCAGGCGAGCTTAACAGTTGAGGCGAGCTCATCTCTTTGAGCCAGGTTCCCAGTTTCGGCGAACCGCTCAAATCAGGCGAGCTTAACAGTTGAGGCGAGCTCATCTCTTTGAGCCAGGTTCCCAGTTTCGGCGAACCGCTCAAATCAGGCGAGCTTAACAGTTTAGGCGAGCCCATCTCTTTGAGCCAGGTTCCCAGTTTCGGCGAACCGCTCAAATCAGGCGAGCTTAACAGTTTAGGCGAGCCCATCTCTTTGAGCCAGGTTCCCAGTTTCGGCGAACCGCTCAAATCAGGCGAGCCTAACAGTTTAGGCGAGCTCCATCTCTTTGAGCCAGGTTCCCAGTTTCGGGCGAACCGCTCAAATCAGGCGAGCCTAACAGTTAGGCGAGCCCCACTTCTTGAGCCAGGTTTCCATTTATGGCGAACCGCTCAAAACAGGCGATACTAGCAGTTCAGGTGGGCTGCATCAAACTCCCACTTGGTCAAACCTTCAGATAGTTAGGACCAAAGCCACAATCCCCCGCCAATCCTCTTCAATAGGATGGCGGGACCCCCACTGTCACGTTAACAGTTACCTCTGACAAATCAACTTACCAGTCCTCTTCAATAGGATGGTAGGTCCATAGAGTTGCTCAAATCGCAATAAACTCCCACTGTCATGTTAACGGTCACCTCTGACAAAATCAACTTACCAATCCTCTTCAAAAGGATGGTAGGTCCTCAAAGTCGCTCCGATCGCGGCAATTCCTATCACGTTAACGATTACCTCTGATAGCCGACACCGTCATTCCCGCAAATGACGTTGTCCGATCAGTCGTCATACTCATACGTCCCTGAACGATTTGATTCTCCCAGCACCATCTTTCCCATAAAAGGCGTTGTTGTTTGATAGTGGCCTGCCATGCGATGTGCTGCTATTTCAGGGTTAGTCTTTGCCCCAAGAGAAGACAAATCAGGGTTCGTCTTCATCTTTGTCCTAAGAGAAGACAAGTTTCCCCCTTATCCTCCAACCGGTGCATGAGGCTAAACTGTTCGAGCCTAAGAGAGACTCCTCGACAACTTACCATGCTAAGGGCAAGAGCATGGCTAGTCCAACTCAAACGGCAGTTGGTAAAGACAAATCAAGTCCGTTGATAGCTGAGGGTTTGCTCAAAATCCTAGAAGGCGATCATCAGCTGCGAGTGAAGAGCAGGGATCACTTTACGGGACTTCATATCCAAAGTGTTCCAGACCCCATGCGGCCTGATTCAGGTCTGAAAACTTTGGAGGGGGTTTTGTAGGTAATAAAAATTGCCTTTAATCCTTATCAGAGAAGTTCAGAACAAAACTGCTAAAACCTCACCCGAAATAGCGAAAAAGGGGAAAACGCAGATATCTCCCAAACCGTAAGGAATTTGGCAAAACGGAGGAAGCGAACCGAAGCCTTCGGCTTTGTTCGGATGGCTCCATCTCGTCGAGATAGGCGATTTTCATATATAATTCGTCCAATTCCGACTTACGGTTTGAAAGTTACGGCCTATTCTTCAATCCATGCTCAGGAGCTCGCCTGCAGCTCAAATTCGCCTGCAGTCCCAAATCCGCCTGCAGACCCAAGTCTGCCTGCTCGCCTGCAGCTCGAATCCGCCTGCAGCCCAAGTCTGCCTGCGCACCTGAGCTCGCCTGCAAACCCAGTTCGCCTGCTAGCTCGCCTGCAGACCCA